AGTTAATGCTGGTTCTAATAGAAACACAGTGTATCACAGTTTGTTGGTATGGGGCTGCGTAGCCACAGACCAGTCAGGGTGCCCAGGTGGTCATAATGTTAAGGCTGATCAGTGTATGTCGATACTTAATACTTGTGGTAATTTTATGTGTATTTTGTCTGATGCACAATGTTGTCTCGACAATGAATAACATTTTTATCTTGCGGTGTGGACGGACTCATAATGCTTTAAAGGCCACGTTGTGAAACTGAGTGAACTCTTTGTTCACAGGCACTGTCAGTGGACACAGACAAGAAGACAGTCACATTTGATGATGGTTCAGTCCAGAGCTACGACCAGCTCCTCATCTCAACGGGCTGCAGGTGCAGACAAATATACACACACACAAATACTGTATAAAAAGTCCAAGCCTTGTGGGGGCCCTAGAAAGCCCTTTTGTCTCCCCCCTCTGGCAGTGAGAGTAATTACACAAACGCTGTCGACACACATAGCGTATAAAATTTGACTTGACTCAAATCCCAAATGTTTTGTCTAGAAATCCAAAATATGCCATTTGTTATATTCCCAAAATTAGTTGTATCATCTTGTATATCAGCTCTGTTTTAAGATGCTGTACTTATTGATTACTGACCAGAGCCTCATTTCCCAGAATCATCTTAAGGCTAGATAGATAATAAAAACATAATTGTAAAATCCATCTCAAAAACGTTCTTATGTGTGAGACGTGTTTCCCAAAAGCATCACAATTGAAGCACTTTATTATTATTAATAATTAATTAACGAGTGCCTCCAGCCTGCTCTTGGAAGGCTAACAATGTCTTATTATGCTCTGGAAGCTGCAGGAGGAACCAAAAATAACATGATTAATTTACATTTTTATTGCTTTTGTTGATTTTTAAAGTCCAGGTGAAATGATAAATGTAAATTTTGTTTGTTATATTGGACTCCTATTTAACAACAGGTGCCAAAACAATTGACAAAAACTAAATTTCTGTGTATTTTTGTGTGAAAATCCAATAATTTTGCATGAACTAACCAATTTCTACCAATAATATCATGACATTCACCTGTCAATCAAGCTTCAACTTTTACTTATCTAAGACTCATTAGTTATCTAGCTAGCAGCAGCATGTTTCTGGGGGTTGGACCTCACTGATTACGGTACAAAAACAGTGTTATCACAACTTTATTTTTGGTGAAACTGGATCATATTTAATGGAGGAAATATTGACGGCTGGTTCCTCCAATGTCCTCCGAAAAGCTGTATGGAAATACACACTAAACAACTTAAAGTACTGAACATTTCTTTGTGTCCTTTACAACTCTTAAGCTTTGTATTTTTTATATATAGACAGCCTCCAATGTTAAGAGGCTTTTAATGGAACTGTTTTGGGAAGTGCACGTTATAAAGTTAAGAGCATTCGTAGAAAAGTTACTAGAAAACTCTCTTAATTTCTAAGATTGATTGTTATCAGGAAACATTACCCGGAGCATTTCTCTGCCAAAATATTTAACTCAGTCAACTATGAACAGCAGCTGATAACTTTAACTTAACGTTGTATAAGTCATTGTTGCAGCACCACTACACTGTATTGCTCATAAACACAGTCATGACCTGTCCTTTAGAGCAAAGGGTCTGAACGTGCCCGGCATGAAGTTGGACAATGTCAAGATGTTGGAGACGCCAGAGGACGCCCGGCAAATCCACGCAGCCTGTCTGGGCTGCAACGTCGTCCTTGTGGGAACCTCTTTTGTTGGTACTGTGTTTGAGAGTGGTTCAAAATTTGCACATATCTGTTTGGACTGGTGATGTGTAGGGAATTAAAACAGACTGCAGAAAAAAGACGACATCAAATGTGCTGAACGATTGTGAAATCAGATAAAACATCAAGAGTTCAGCTGTATGGAAGGTTGTAAAATGTTATCAGAGTTAAAAATATGAAAATAACACTGATTACATCAATAAATAATGGAAGAAAGAATTATAAAAATGTATACCTTTTCTGTAGTCAGCTGATAAAATAAATGTAAAATGTATTTTGCTCCTCTACTGGATGAAAAGTATAAAGCCTATATTTCTTTTTATCCTCCATTCCAATAAAAACAATAATAACTAACAGTATTATTTATGGATGTATTCAGTTATATTGTTGACTTGTCCTACATTTTTTTTTACATTTTTTTTCCAGGCATGGAAATTGCATCTTATTTAATAGACAAAGCCTCCAGCATCACAGTGATCGGCAGCAGTGAGCTGCCGTACCAGAACACACTGGGTCGTGAAATCGGCAGAGCCACCATGATGGTAAGAGAGAGAGAGAGAGATTTATTGAATCCTCACATTGCGTCTGTTTTCAGTTCACTTACTTGTAGTTTAAACTCTGTTGTTCCTGCAGATGCTTTCAGAGAAAAATGTCAAATTCCACATGAATGATATTGTGACAGAGATCAAAGGTGTGGATGGAAAGGTAAAGTGGGAAAATGGTACATTAAGACTTTAGTTAACACAGAACATAATTTATGTTTTGGTAAAATATAAATATTCTCTGTTCTCTCTGCTCTTGTTGTCCTTTCTTCCTCAAGGTGAAGGAGGTTGTCCTTAAAAGTGGAAAAGTTATTCCAGCGGATGTTTTGATTGTTGGTATTGGTAAGTGCAATGCAGACGTTTCACATTCATACAAAATCTTTATTAATTTTTCTGCTCATTCCCTTTATTACTATTTAACATCTTTACATTATCAAGCAGACATTTCCTGTAAAGCAAAATCACTTCTTATAAAAACAGATTATAACAAATTAAAGATATGTGTTAATTCAGTAATTATATCATCACTGATAGTTGCATAAAGATTTTTATTTTCAACAAAACCTACTCAACACCTGTTGTCTCTTTCTGTTTCTCCACCAGGAATCAAACCAAACTCAGAGTTCCTGCGGGGCAGTAAAATACAGATGGACTCAAGAAACTTTGTAACAGTTGATAAGGTCAGATAATAACCAGCAGTTCACCTGATTATCAAGATATTATTCAATACATAACATCTCTTCTTCAACAAAACCCCCTGCTTTATGTGTAAAGATAATAATAACAGACTTTATTATTAATAATAATAATAATAATAATAATAATAATAATTTCTTTTTTCTTTTTACATTATTAGATTTATATTTTCTAACTATTGAAACATCTCAGTTCCAGTTTCAGGTTTTCCAGGATCTCAAACATAATATTGATAAACATGTGCTTTTTCCACATTAATCAGCATATTCTGCACCATTAACTATCAGTCCTCTGTCTGTGTTTCTCTCCCGCAGTACATGCGCACCAATGTCCCCGGTGTGTTCTGTGGGGGCGACCTGGCCACCTTCCCCCTGGCAATGGCCAAAAACCAGCTGGTCAACATCGGACACTGGCAGATGGCACAAGCACACGGTAATGGAATAACAAAGTCACACAGTCGTCTGGCAAGTTGCATGAAGAAACTGTGGTTTAAATCTGACTAACAATTAGATTAGATCAGTACTGGTGCTAACTTGTTGCTCAGACAGATTACTAACCTCTATAAAAACCCTTTTGTTAAACTCATGCAACAACATTGTTAGCATAATACACATATGATTAACTGTTTATCATGTAGAAAGATAGATATTGCAGCTGTATTTAGTTTAGGATAAAATATTTTATTATTTTATTTTTATGATTATTGTAAAATGTAAGATGACTGCTGGGCTACACAACCTCTGTGTGAGATATCAGGGTACATGTGGTAGATAGTGGGGCAAGTAAATGTCAGTAGGAATCATAAGGTCCAGTGTGATTATTCTCTGTATTAAGCAACAGAGAAAACACATTCATGTAGAAGACATCTGGGCAGAAGGAAAGTATCACAGTATGTGTGCTTAAAAAATACTTTTAATAACTGTAGATATCAAGAGATACAGGTTATAGTAATTACTGTGTTTAACCCTCATTTTCTGTTATTCTTTTAATATATTATCTGTTCAATATCTGTGTCTATAATATGTTGTTTCCAGTTTAATGTAAACTTTTATTTATTGTCGTTCAGGGAGGATAGCAGCTCTGAATATGCTGGATAAACAGAGTGAACTCAGCTCTGTTCCTTTCTACTGGACCGTCCTACTGGGTACAACCATCCGATATGCAGGTGGGCACACACACACACACATATTTGTATGCTTGTGTGTATCTTTATAAATGTTCAATTTGACACAATAATGCTGAGTGCAGCCACAGTGAGAGGCCTTCATGGTCAGGTGAGGTTGTGAGGTTGTCGCAGCACTAGTACACACAAACACACACAAGAGCAGAGGTAGGAAGTTAGATGTGGTAATATTGTTTGGAACTAACCTTTATTTTAATTATTATCATGTTAAGTTATTTTATATGTTTGTATTTTGATATATTTAAGCCAATACTACTAAAAAAAACTTTATCTTTGACTCTTAACAGAAAGAAAACCGCTATGTACAACTACTTGTTTCACACGCTCTCCAGTATATATTTATCTAAATTATCAGTAATTCAAACTTGACATTAATCTGTACTGTTTTTATATGAATAACCTTGATTAATATTAGATAATGTTATTTTCTGAGTATTCAGTGTGTATGGTTTTAAAATTGACTCTGTGTTTACTCAAATTGAGCTTATAAGCAATCTGGTGATATTTGTTGTGACGAAAAAAAGAATTTATCATTGAAGGTGAAGTGAGTGAGATGAAATATAGAAGTTGGAGAAACGCTTTGCTTCCCGTGACCAGGTTTGGATTTTCAGATTTTCCTGGAGACAGATACGACTCATCAGCAGTTGACTTCTCACGCCTGACTGGATCAGAGAGACGAACCTGACCGGTGAGCCCCAGCCTTTCCCAGGCTGTACGTCCGGCGGCCGTTCACGGCGTGGACGACAAACCAGACGAGACAGACAGAGGGTTGTGACAGTGAAGGTAATGGAGAAGCTTTAATTGATCTGTCAGGCAAGAGATCCTAAGCCGAAGAGCTGCAGGAAAGGAGTCGCTAAAAGCGGCTGGAAAAGAGCATATTTAGCCCCTCTGGCCCCCCCTCAACCTCGAGTCAAGTGGGAGTTTTTTTTAAGTGTGTGTTTTATTTTGTGAGAAATTTTTACAATAGAAAATATTGGCAGTAAATTAGAGCCGCTCCTGTGAAATTTTAAAGCTTTTTAACCGTCCTTAAAAAGGCGATTGCTACAAGAGCTAAGAACACTTACAGAGGAGACGTATCCACTCGCTGGTTCCGCCTTGTATCAGCTCGTTGGGGTTTCATACTCAAGCACTACTTAGCTTGTTGAATTTTAAGATTGAATTGTTACAAAAGTTGGATGAGTTTATATGGTGGTGAGCACTTTTAGTTTTTTACTTCTGGTGATGCCGCAATTTTGGCTAAAAAAACGCATTAAAGTTGGAGGCTTATGTTTCAGGGCAATTAATCCCCCGAACCTCCAAGTGGAAGAATCCAACTGGAGGAAGCCAAGGACTGTGCTAACTTCTGGGATGGACTCAGCAATAAACGGGTCCTCCTCCCTGCAGCATGGGTGAGCGCAGCTGTTCCTCCACCTGCCTATGGAGGAAGTCTCCGGTCCGTGGCCCGCCGTCGCTCCAGGCTCACGGCCCTCCCCTCGGGTGCGACTTGACTCAGGTTAGCTGCAGGCGGCGGGGAATCGCCGGGGTGGGGGCAAACTCCTCATTGTGTCTCCAGCTTGACCAAATAGTAAGCGGGCAGAGTAAATGGTGGAAATACAAATGTTTCTTAGTAAAGCAAACTGAAGCAATGTTGCTGCTGATTTCAACCCATTGGTGAAATGAATTTTATAAGACGAGTCGGGCAACAAGATTTAATCTTTGATCCCTCTGCCCCGCCCACTACCCAGGTGATTTGCTCACGTTGGTCTATCCGACCTGATAAAAAGCCAGGTACTGATGTGGGTCTGGTACATGACTGCGTATTGATGGACCGGCTTCGTTTTATTCTCGCACACCACTTGTACACTTTTACATTTTTATTGTTAAATACTTGTGTTATGAACATTTGTTTTTTGCATTAACTTCTTACAAGTTTCTGCTGTGTGACATGCAAATTTCCCCTGGGGTTTAATTATACCAAGTGTCCAGCCTAAAAATGCACTTGCTTCTCCCACGGCTGTTTTGGACAGTACAAGAGGACGTCGCCCGGAGTGGGCTATGAGCCGAGCTTGGCTGCTACGTTAGCTCAGCTTGTTTCTTCCTGATAACTTAAGGATCCAGACGTCCGATGACTAAAATCCTTCGATCCGGTTTTCAAATCTAGAGTTAGAAAAAGCAGCAAAAAAGTTTGCTAATAACATGTGGATGTGTAAAAATGTGGCTTCAGAGCCTGGGATATATATACGTCAATTGTGTATTGAACAAGCGTTTCTGGCAAGACACCACAACCACTGACGGCCCAGACACCGAAAGGGGATATGACGCCATCTGACAGCGACGCGGTGAAACGCAAGCGTTACGCTGGTTGAATTATAAATGATAGATTTCTTCTGAGTTTTGAACATCTGTTGAAAACATTTGGGATTAATGTGAAGATCTCAACTATAACATATACTGTGGAACACGTATAGAAGCTCAGAGC